GAATTGAAAAGTTAACCGATTTCGTAGTCACAAATTATCGCTGTACGGTTTCGCCACTCTTTGAATGCTCCATTAGAGGTTTTTCCAGTGAATTTAAAATTACCGAAAGTTGTGTGTGATTTCGGCAAATCGTCAAATTGCCGACATTATATTCATGAAGTTGGTAAAATGCCATTTTACCAACATTTTTGGAACAAGTGTTGGTAATTCGATATTTTACCGAAAACACAAAAAACTTTCGGCAATTCGTCGAATTGCCGAATTTACTATGAATTTTTCCGTTTTGATATTGAGTGAGTACAGATTCAAATAACCTCAAGAAGTCATTTGACATGAGCAGCTTCAACCAACGCGTATGTAAACAAATTCATGTCATTTCATGACATATTCTCATGTCAAAAGTGAAAAAAAGTTAATTGATTTCGTCGATATTTGGTTCGTTTTTATTGCATTCGCATTGTTTTTGTCAAAGTAATTTTAACAAAGTCCCGAAATAATTCAAGATGACTGATAATGCATCGGGTAACTCATCGAATACCGACAGCGGATTACAAACTCCAACAAAACGTCCCAGACTTGAGGGAAAAAACACAAGACAGGCAATTATCGATACGATGTTCGGTGAGGTTGGAAAATTTGGTGGACAGGTTTCGTCTTTAAAAACGTAAGATTGAAATATAAAAACCCCAGACCATGATCTATGCAAATACCTTATACATAAAAACCTTTTTTTAGAAAATCCAATCGAGAAGATGAGGACTATAGACGACTCTATCGACTCTATAAAACCGCTCTAAAAGCACTGAATATGCTTAAAACCGAATGGTATATAAGAAAATAAATATTTAAACATTTCAATCATTTTTCTATTTGAATCTTTAATTTTATCTTTTAGTAGTGATCTTGAAGACGAACTGCAGCCTTTGCCGACTCATGCCGAAACATTATTACAATCAACTAACGATAATGTAAAGGCCTGGTCACAATATTTCTACATAAATCCATCACCGACCAAAAAGAAAGGTGTAAAAACCATTCCATCGCCAGTCACAGAGCGAATTGGCAGCCTATTGCATTCAATTGGATCATTTTATGGACTGACAGCGGAAGCTGTATGGTATGTTAATATATATTTAATTATTGCTGAATATGAATTAATTTCGAGTGAGTTATAATTTTTCTTTCAGTTCGAATAAACGGAAACAGGAAAATATTGACAACATGAAAGATCTTTTGACAGCAGCTAAAGAAGCCATCTCTTCCCTGGAAACTATTGCGTATTTAAAAATAACAATTTTTCTAAATTCTGAATGTTAACACAAACACAATTTGTTTGTAATTTTTCATTATAGTGACAAAATCGAAATGGAACTTAAACCATTCATGGAAAAGAATCGAGTAATCCGAAATGAAAATCCCGGAACAAGTGATCAAAGTAATTAGTTTACGTTTAATACTGCGTGCCACTGATCAAGTTCTAATGGTTTAATAAAATAGAGAGATAGAGAGCCGTAAGGTAGTTAAGGATTAATAGACATTTAATTATCATATGTTAAGTTGATTAAAACCAACAAAATATCCGATAAACGTTTAAATTGTACTGACTTAACGTAGATGATGGTTACATTTCTCGTGAATAAATCTTTGTGTTTCTTTTTGTAGTCGAAATTCTCTTTATTCTTGCGTTTTTCGTTCTTAGTATGTAATATTGAAATGTTTAACCCTCTAATGCATACAACCGCCTCTAGACGGGCAACATTTGAATGCCTGTAGAACGTAGAATAAAGAAAATAATAATCTTTGATCAATAGCAAAGTTTAACACTGATACCATTCGCAATTTCGATCTAAAATCTTCTAGATAATCCGATTTCAATATAAACGCTTGCGAAATTAATTAGATCAAACAAGGCTTTGGCTTCTTAGGCTAATTTTCGACGAAGAATTCGAAAATGCAATCGTTTGTGGCCAAAAATGAGGTCCAGTGTCTTGATTTGAACAGTTGTGGTGAGATTGTGCAATTTTTTCACCTTCTTCTTCAATAATAGCCTCCCCAATGCCAAATTTGAACCATATAAATGAAACATGTTATACGCCAAAAGAAACTAGACATCAAGCGCTACATTTTAGGAACACACCGCACCAGTGCTAGTGCCTTAGAAGCAGTTAAAAATGGTTGCATACTTGCAGGAGCATGATTTTTCAAACTGCCGACCTCGATTTGGGGCAGAAGGAATGGTTTGATCAAGTTAAAATGTTCTACGCGTAAGTAGAATTTTCTACGCGGTTTTCGAATATTATAGTGATTTTGGGCTGAAAGCGGGTTTCTACCCTGTTTTTGCCCTAAAATAGTGATTTTCGGTGATTTTTCGACTTCTCAGCCTCCCCCTCCCTTCCAAAGGGGAGGGCGACCCCAAACATTGTTATTTTTTGATTCGCTGGAGTCTGGTGAGCATTTTATCAGAACACATCACCAGCGCTAGACCACCTATTTGGTGTGAAAAAAAATTATGTAGTCGAAAAACCATGAAAAAATGGTAAATGGTGAAAACACCGAATTTTTTTCTAATAAAATATGAGGTGTCGGATAGTTAGGGAATATCGAAAAACTCAAGAATTTGAGGTGGGCCGACTTTTAAGCCCAAAAATTGGAAAAAATAAAACCACGTCTAACATGTTAATTGACTTTTTTCACATTTTATACTTTGAACCCACTTTTCAGAGCTAGAATGAGCCCGGATGGGGTTTTCTTAGTGGACTTTATTGTAGCCTCATCGATTATCTATCCAACCATGCATATAGTTTTGAAAGTTTGTACCACACTTTTCTAGTGTAAAAATGTCAAAAAGTGCCATTTTTTATATTTTTCAATATTTGGGTCACCCTAACTTTTCATCAGGTAGGGAAGGTCACCCTAATTTTTTGGCTTTGCGAGTTTTTGGCCATAAGAAGTTTATACACCAAGTTTGAGCGAAATCGGAGAGGTCATCTGCAATTTTTGTTACACTTGGTGTGGAATGGTCGTATTGTGAAAACTTATTTACAATAAGGAAAAATATCGCGTCACGACTTTTGAATTTAGTCTTCAAATTAAGCTTTAAAGCGTTTTGCCGTTCAAAAGTCGTGACGCGATATTTTTTTTATTGTAAATAAATTTTCACAATAGTGAATGCGAAAAACACTTTTGAACTTCGTTCCCAGTAATACAGCGTCCTAGCGTCACTCAAAATGATATTAGTCATTTTGAGTGGTGAATCCACGCACGGAGCGTCACTCCATTTCAATCTCGTCTAGAGGTTTTTCATCTGATATCACTACTTTTGTAAGGCTTTTTTGGAAAAATACATTTTTACCAGAAGTATGTCTATTTTAAGGTCTTATTATCAGGAAATTGCAATTTTCTGGGTAACACATTGGCATTCTAATTTCACAAGTTCTGGAGATTGCACTATCTAATTTCCACTACCATTGAAAAAGTCCCAATTTCCTCTAATTGCACATTATTATAAAATGCGGTAAAATATGATTAAATTTCAAGATAACCATAAAAAGAGTGTTGAAACGATTGTGAATTCTCATTGTTTCATTAAAAAAATATTAGTTCCCAACCACCAAAGCTCTGGAAAGTGCATTTTTTATGTATCCCCCGAGCAAAAGTTCAATTTCATACATTCAGATGCCAAAATGCCGATTTATGACCAAAATGACAACGAAATGGATATTCAAGTGTTCGTGGACTCCCATTATTTTCACGAAAAAATAGCAGTTTTCTCAGACCAAAATGTCGTCAGAGGTCTATTTCACGTGTTTTCCGAACAAAAACATCATTTTCAGTGAAAATAGAGCAAGTTGAAAAATTTACTTCAATCCGACCATGAAATGCCCTCAAATCGCATTGTGACCACTTTTAATCGATTGCTCGTCGAAAATTGAGCGGATATGGTCTTTCTTGAGCCTTTTTCAGCCAGTAGATGCGTATTTTTGGCAGCAATTTCATCGTAGAATGCGACTCTTCGTACAAATTCCGTTCATTGATGAATTGCCTATGCCCAGAACGTCGAAATACGAATTTTCCCGGATATGTGGCATATGCCATTTTGTTGGTATGGTAGCCGGCTACAAACGCTCAGTTTTTGGTAAAACATTGTCGGGCTGATTTTTGAGAAATCGCGTTTGGTGTGAAATTTAAGGGGGTCGATTTTTCATAAAAATCGACTTTTTTCTTTTATATCACACAAACATTGGCATGTGTGTATGGAACTTTTTGAAGGTCTTCTCAAATAATTACGAGCTGAGTTTGCCCGATGGGTGTCTGAGTGGATCTAGTGTGCGAAATAAATACTTGAAAAAATCGTATACATGCAGGCTAGTGAAGCCATAGCCAGCTCTTCTGTAATGCAAATGTCAATCTGAGGACGGGTTTCGATGTGGCCCGACACCAGCTACAGCTTAGGCATATCGGCACCGGTATCTGTGGGGTCCAAAAAAGTTTCCGGACACACGAACGGACGAACGGACGCACAAATCAATACTTTCCTAAAAAATCAAGATCAGCCTGCCAATGCCCATAACTTTTTCGTTTTTGGACCAATCGGGGGACTTAGACCGGCGTTGGAAAGGTAGTGAGGAGGAACTTGGACACCTCAGATCACCCCCTGGGTACCCCATTCGTAAGATATGGGTATAGATTTGAAAATTTATCGAAATTTTCCAACCACTATATTTTTGCCTAGACACACTTTAGGCATGGGGGATATGATGTTTCCGACTATTTGGGCCAAGACCTTTCCAACGGTACCTAACATGCCGGGGCCCAAATAGTGTCCTGAGGAAATAGCATATTTACTGAATATATACTCGTGACGCAAAAACTGGCATTTTTAGGCACTACATGAAATGTAGAGTCTATTGATTTAGTCATGTTTTTCAGATAAAAAATCAAGCCGCACTTTGTGGGCGAACGGGTTGTCCGATTTGTATGTGCTATACATCGTTGGAAAGGTCTTGGTTGTCGGAAGTCCGTAGGGGTATTTTTGGGACCATCTTGGTCCATCATGGTCATGTTAACACGACTTAATACCATTTTCACATATGAATAGTCAATATGGGTATCATGTGAAAGGCCTTGGAACGGAGATGAACATGGACACCATCTCGGTCCATCATGGTCATGTTAACGCGACTCAACACCATTTTTACATATGAATAGTTAATATGGGTATCATATGAAAGGCCTTGGAACGGAGATGAACATGAACACATCTCGGTCCATCATGGTCATGTTAACATGACTCAACACTATTTTCCCATATGAATAGTCAATATGGCATACATTGTAATATTCGGTGAGTGCCACTTAAAAAAATATCCGCACTCATCTAGTGCGTGAGACGTATGGTCACTCATTTAGTGAGTGAGACGCGCGCGGATGAGATGAAGCAAAGCGAAAGAGAAGCGGGCAACTCCATACGAACGAACGATATAGCGCGCATACATTTCATAACTCCGTCGTTAGAATACGGACACAAACACAAACACGTAGTACCCATTGACTCTATGTTCTAGTTGCGCGCTTCCCTTTCGCTTTGCTTCATCCCATCCGTATGCGTCTCACTCACTAAATGAGTGACATACAAAAAAGGCATCAATTGCAACTCTACATTTCATGTAGTGCCTTTACATCATAGTTTGTTGTTAACCAACAAACTAAAAATAATATATATAGAAAAAAATAAGAGCGGAGCGGAGCGACGCGACCTTGTTGATATTTGGCTTGAAATGCACAGTCTATGGTGCGTCACTTGTCGGACTATCGTCCTCCGTGATACATACAATACATGGAATTCTTCAGTTATGTTCTGTCATTTCTGTGTGTTGTGTCATTTTTGTTTTTTTGACAGTTGAACTGAAATTTCAAAAAAGAAAAAAAGTGAGTGTGTTCGGAGTAAAGGTGGCAAAGGGACAAAATTTGTTCGTTCGTCCGTCCTTTTATTGATTTGAGACAAACGGACATTTGTCCTAATGTCCCATTTCAAATTTGGACAAACGGACATTTTGTCCTAATGTCCCATTCCAAATTAGGACAAACGGACATCTTGTCCTGATGTCCCAATGCCAAAAGGGACGAACGGACATTTGTCCCGATGTCCCATTTCAAATTAGGACAAATGGACAAATTTTTAAAATGACTTACATCACTTCATAAGTGTTATACATCATTCTAAAAATTTGTCCATTTGTCCTAATTTGAAATGGGACATAAGGACAAATGTCCGTTTGTCCCTTTTGGCAATGGGACATCAGGACAAAATATCCTTTTGTCCTAATTTGAAATGGGACATCAGGACAAAATGTCCGTTTGTCCTAAGTTGAAATGGGACATTAGGACAAATGTTCGTCTGTCCCAAATTAATAAAAGGACGTACGGACACGAAATGTTCGTCCTCTGTCCGTCCGTTTGCCACCTTTAGTTCGGAGTTTGAGTGTGAATTAATCTGTAGAATAATTTTGTGTCAGCCCAAGAAGTAAAAACATGTTCCAGAATTTCCTTAGGAAGAGTCACATAATAAAAGATTTTGTCAATACGAATCAAATATGCCCGAGAAATTTTTCGATATTATCACCATATCACAAGAGTCACAATGTACTCTTAAAACAGAAGGCTGCGCGTATACCATGTATTCATCCATACATTAGGCGAAATTTTATTGGTTTTGTTCCTGACAGAAAAGATGGTTATAAAACACAGAAAGAAGAACCTGATCTAGAGCACATCAAATACGGCTTGAAGCAATTTAAAAACGAACTTAAATTGTGGATAGAAGAAATAAAAGACACATTACGTGCAGATCCTTTGATGATTTGTCCGCCTGGTTTGTATCATTTTAGAGCTTTTTTCATTAGATTGTCACATTTTTGTAGTAATAAGATCAAGATCATAGTTCCAACCATTACGTGGGCTTTCGCGTATACAGGGCATTTGTGTTTTATGACCCTCTGGTAAGTATATATTACACTTGAATTTTAATTTGTGATGGAAAGAAATGGTTGGAACTTTGGTCAAATGCACCCCAAAAATTATGTGAAGGCATTTCGTATTTGATTTGATAATTTTTGCTTGGATTCTCATAGGCGAGATCGATACGGTCTTCGAATTTGGGAAACAGGAAGACATAGACAAATTCGTTGTAACAAGTGATAGTGACCATAATGAGGGATACAGTCATTGTTCATTGAAGATTAATCAGTCTGGTTACGGTTCATTCAGTGGCATCTTAGATTCAACAGTTCCAAAACAGGGAAAAATATCAAGAGCTGGTTATTGTAATATAACAAGTCTTCGTGTGAAAGTATAATTTTTGGTTGTGTATTTATTTATGATTTTATAATAATCACTTTCTGTCATTCAGAAATCATTTCAACGCGATTCATATTATGATTGGAGCCCATATAATGCACTAGTATTGAGAATTCGGGGTGATGGTCGACCGTACTCATTGAATTTGCACTCAGATGGTATATTTGATGTAACATGGCATGATACATATAGTTATATCTTATACACACGAGGTGGTCCACATTGGCAGTTAACAAAAGTAAGTTAGATTTTCAGTTTGTATGTGTATGTTTGGTTCATTTGTTGAAATACAAAATTCAAATCTTTTTTTCTTTTTAAATTTAGATACCATTCTCCAAATTTTATCTGGTTGCTAAAGGATGTATACAAGATAAGCATTGCTATATGTCGAATATTCGCGTTTCACGAATTGGCATCACAGCTGTGGGACTGAACTGGATGGATGGAGAATTCAATTTGGAAATCGACTATATCGGTGTGGAAAATAACCCATACCATACTGAGGAATCATCCTATGAAATGTACAGAGTACCAAATTTCATAGCAGGCACCTAGTGATCCTTAACAATTCTATATAAATCTAGGTTCTTCAATGTAATAGTTTTATTAACTAAAAAAAATTCAACGTTTTTTTTAATCATACAATGAATTAGTGTTTCAAGATGTTTTTATATTTTCGCGTTTTCTTATTAGTTGGTATGTGTCCTTAGAAAAGATATAGCTTGTAGCAGCTGCTGCAGTTGTAACACCAGTAAAATACCACATGCAGACCAGAGTTGAATGATCTATATAGAGATGAAGATTGAAAAAAAAAATTAATAATATGGCTATTCATTTATTATTCAATTGATTATACCCAGTAGTCCATAAACTGGAGCTGCCAAACTAGCGGCAATCGTGGTCAATTGAACTGCTGTATTAACTTTACTGATCAAAGTTGGTTTCAATTTGGCTGTTACGTGTGTTGCATCAAAGTATCGTGTAAGTGTTCTCTAAAGTTATAATAATATTTCAATAAATATTGAAAAGTCGATTACTAATTACTCAGTAGTTTTATATTGTATTTACCGGTGATGGCAAACTTATATATCGAATGACAAAGCCGGCAATAATTAAAAATAAATCACGGAAGATGATCAATCCACATAGCCATGCAGGGAATAAGCTGCAGCAAGAGAGAGATATAACTAAAGAGCCTACGAGTAATTTATCTGCCATTGGATCCAAAAATGATCCAAGTTTGCTGGCCTGCGAAACCCAATTTCGTGCAATAAAACCATCCAACTGTAAAAGTAATTAAGATAGAACAAGGAGTTGTAAATCAAATAATTTTTGATTAGAGACTTTTATTGGCTCACCAAATCCGTTAAACCAGCAAAAAGGAGAAGACCGATTGCCAATTGATAGTGTTCTTGAACAATAACATATCCAATGTATGGAGCTAAACAACTACGAGTCACACATAAAAAATTTGGGATTGTTAGTATATTTTCCCGTAACTTCTCCCTCTCTACAATCTCCCCCATTTCTCGGACCTTCTCTTGGACTTTCGACTTTTTATCACGAATCCCTTGCACTAAAATCTCCTTGCGCTCACGCATTCGCATTCTTTTTTCTGTTATCAGTTCTCTACTTTTCTCAAACTTGTAATTTAAGTTTTTACGATCAATATTTGTGTAGAAACGTTTCTGGTCTGATGAGTAATCGAAAAAAAAATGCGATACATTTTTCGCCTTGTCCGTACATAGTATAGAATATTCAAAATTAAAAACACCAGTACAATTTGTGTATTTATTGCAATTATTCACTATTGAAATGCTTTTGCATTTAGGCACCAAATAAGTGAGTGTCATTTTTCGAAAAAGTTTCGATGCAATCATATCAATATAAGAGTAAAATTAATATTGAAAATAAAGACTCTTAGAACAATCCAATTGATAGCATTGTTGACATACCGCGAGCACATGCACATCAATGGTAAGAATCGTATACATTTTAGAACTATTTGACATTTCGCTCCTCTAGAATTTAGACAAATGTAAATATTCATGTAAATATTTTCGCGTTTACTTTCTTCTCATTAACATCTTCATTTCACATGTCAATGGAATATTCGAATTTTGCAGAAAATATTTCGAAACACACAATTTTGTGTTCAATGTTGAAGTTTTTATAAATCTAGAATGCCAAACCGGTTTATTCGATTAGTGAACGCTACCCAATCTATACCATTTTGGCATTCGAAACTGAAGTATCCGCCATTGTTATATGTGTTTCTGTTCGATTTGTGCGTCTATTCACAAAAAGTAGCTATTTCCTAACAAAAAGCTAAATGTTGTAGAAATTGAACAATAAATTTTAAACTAGAATTTCGATTATTAAAATCTACATAAAATTATTTCATAGGATCAAGTGAAGCTTTCCTCTAGCTGAGTTGGCCCTTTTGCTTTCCTTTCAGTTCTTTTGTTTTCGTTTACAATTTCTATTTCCAAGTAATCTGTGTCATTTTATACAGTTTAAAAAAATCCATTCAGTGCAACTCGATAGAGTTGGTTTTATTTTGTTTACATCTTTGAAACGTTGAAAAATCCAAAAAAAAATTTTTTCTATAAGGAATAGTAGAAAAATATCAATCAATAGAACGTGAATATAGTGAACAATACAAACCTAGATAGACATCGAAAGAATAATCGAAAGGTGAAACTTTTCAATAAAATAGACGACAATCTCGACGTATGTCTATCTGTTTATTAAAAGATCGATGTTTATAAGCATTCACGGGTCTGTATTTAGAACTTGGAAGCGACTTGCAACAATCGTCACGAATTTCTGTTACAGCACATTGAGCGCAAATCCAGCTATTGAGGTACGCATCTTTCTTGTAAATTTAATGTTATTTAAAATTTTATGTCAGCCATAATTGTAATGAAAATTGAGTAGAAATTCAATAAACCACCGCAAAGCAAAGGAGAACATGTGTAAAATATAGTTTTCAATAACCAATGTAAATTGTTTGCATGTGTTTGAATTCAATATGGCCGATATCATAGTATTTACGTTTTACGTTTTGTGCTGCATATTAGCATACATACTTTTGTTGTGACCATACACAAATAAGAAATGTAATAATTACCACGCATATTGCAATCTGTATGTGATAAAATTAAATAAATCCGTCAACTATATAGCAATAGATATAGCATTCCGATAAGAGACACATTCTATTTCCATTAATCTTTCAAATTAAAACAGTTGTGAATACACTCACACATAAGGAATGAATGTATTTTTGCACAGCCGTGATATAGTAAAAACATTGAATATAAATCAAGTGCGGAAAATAGTTGCTTATTTTCCATATTATTACTATTTTCCCATTCTTCGGAGACCTTCAGAACCTTCAAAATATGAATAATCGGCAAAAACTGCAGACTTAGTCGCAGAACCTGCCGTGCGCTCTTTGCGCCCTGGTGCAAAATTGACAGGGCGCCCTTTTCTTAGGAGGAAATAAAATAATTAAAATAAAAAATTTCTCAAAACGAGTAACTTTCTTGTTAGAAAATTTCTGTTTGCTATTTTGGGTATCGTTCATAGTATGAACTTCATAATTTGGTGTACAATATACTGTTTCGTATATATACAGTCACTCACAAACTTGTTTCAACCAAAAGTCATTTTTTCTGGAATTGGATGGGTTAACACTCTCAATGATGACAATATAGAACGAATCATGCAAAAACTGCTTAAAAAAGATCTCAATTGTTGAAATTCAATGTCAAACTCAGAAATCATATGTGTAGAATTTCAATACTGATCCAAAGCCATTATTTTGTGTCCAAAATTCATTTATTTACGAATCATACAAGCCCCTAAAGCTAGGCAACTGCGACCATTTTCCGTCAAAGTGTTCAAATTAACCTCAAAAACTACCAAAAATTCTGAATAATTTCAACAAATCATCTGAAATGAATGCAAACTGAGTCTATTCGAAGTATTTCAGCAGATTCGAGCTTGAAGAAAAAACCAGAGTTAGAATTTTTGATGCATATCCAATTTCAAATTAGGACAAACGGACATCTTGTCCTGATGTCCCATTTCCAAAAGGACAAACGGACAGTTGTCCAAATGTCCTATTTCAAATTAGGACAAACGGACCGATAAATTTTTTAGGACGGACGAACACAAATTTTGTTCCTCCCAATGGTTGAAAAAAATTCATTTTGAAAATTGAAGAATTTTTTTTTTTCGTTTCGAAAATTGTTATATTGATGCAAATGCAAAAAAAATGTTCCATTTTTTCTGAAATATTATTTATGATTGAATTCCCGCAAAAGTGTTGTCTCTTCATGTACATGAAAATATTTAGTAAAGTTGTATTTAGTTCAGTTCAATTTTTTTTACCAAGACAGAAAAACTGTTTAAATCATTTATTTTGTACCACTACTTTTTCAAATCAGTGTTCAGTTAACGGTTTCAAATATGATAGAAGAGATTAAATTAAAATTCAAAATTAGAAGGTATAAATAGAAAGAGAAAATTGAAGGAAAAATGTTTTATTTGAATTTCACCAACTTTTTTTTATGGTAATGGAATAAAAATGGTATTGAACAAATCACTTTTCAAACGTTAAACCGTTTTTACATTAACGCTGCTAACAAGCAAAACTCAAATTTTTTTCCACCAAGACACAGAAAAACTGTTCAAATCATTTAACACCTGATTTTGGCACTTAATTGAATGTAGTTGGGACTAATGAATTGTGAGTGTTTTTTTTCATTTACAATAAAAATCTTTTTACAACATTTTGAAACAAAAGAAAATTTCTTCAATCTTCAAAATGAATTTTTTCAACCATTGGGACGGACAAAATTTGTCTTCGTCCGTCCCAAAAGTGTCCTATTAAGACAATTTTTTCGTCCGTCCTAAAAAATTTGTCCGTCCGTTTGTCCTAATTTGAAATAGGACATTAGGATAAATGTCCGTTTGTCCTTTTTGACAATGGGACATTAGGACAAGATGTCCGTTTGTCCTAATTTGAAATGGGACATCAGGACAAATGTCCGTTTGTCCTTTTTGGCAATGGGACATCAGGACAAGATGTCCGTTTGTCCCAAATCATTAAAAGGACGGACGGACGAACAAATTTTGTCCCTTTGCCACCTTTAAGGAAAATTTTAGTGGTTGGTATCAAAAATGTACATGACCGACTTTAAAGTTGTTACCACCTGATTATTCTAGCTTCATGGAAAAGGCAATTTTATATTCCCAATACCACTGAAGAGTTCTTACTTTATTTTAAAAAATATCCAATACTTTTCTATTCACCGTATCCGAATTTTTTAGGCCAATGAAAAAAGGCTTTAAATATTAATGAAAATGGATAAAATATGTTTGCATTCCAATACAATATTCTAATGCACAAAGTAAAGTTAGCTTTTTTAAGGGAAATTTTCCTGACTTTTTCCTTCACTTCCAAAAGCACCAAAACATGTTCTCTGTTTAATAAAAACTTTTGTACTATCGATGTGTAATCATTTTGTTACTTCTATGTCTATTATTGAGTTTATCCTTCAAATTGTTTCCAATTCCTATACGATTTGATCAACAATTGCAAATAATCTTAGAATAAAAAATATCTCTTCAAAATAAAATCTTATGATGTATAACGTGATAAAGATAAGAACGTAGAGAATATATTTTTTATATTTCTTTTACAGATGCCACGTTCTAGAAGACGACATAGAGAGTCTAGGTCTCAATCCAGGTCCTCAGGATATAGATTGGAAAAACGTAGAAAAGTTGAACCTGCAGAGAGTGTTAGGAAATCTGTAGGAAGGTTAGTATCAACCCGGTTTATATAACCCCTATAACATTATTAGTGAGAAAGACAGAATAAAATTCATTCATTGGTACTAAAGCACTTAAAGCAACGCTATGAAGTGCAATGGTAATATATTCAGCAATTCCAAAACCTTTCAGAGTTGCTTTTGTCCCTATCGGAAGTTCACTGACTTGAATCATGAATAACGTTTGAAATATCATTTCTTACAGACATTTCTGCATTTTTTATACTTCCAAACTAAACCGTATAGATGCCGTTAGAGCATGCATTGCTGAATATTTTCCATTTATAGCGCATATTGTTGACTTAAAGGGATATTGACTGCTAATCAATCGGGATTATACCATCGCAACTAGCGTAATCCGCGACTGCGTTTGTCTCTTAATTTTTATTATACATGTTCTATGTTCAGTACACTGTATAGAGGAAATCCAGATGGCACCATCAGTGCCGAGTCCGCCTGTTGCGATGGTAGGATAGCTTGAATATCTGATGGTAATCTGAATCGATATCAAAGCCGACGATAGTGAGCCCGAGTGGCGAGTGAAAACTAATCCGCAAAACTTCGAATCTTTTTTTCCAAGATGAAGGGCAAATAAATAACCCATTGGAAAATGAATTCAAACTTGCAAATGGTCTAATAGCGGCCGTGAAAATTTTCGCGTGAAAACCACGGAAAATCGTCTTGAAGATAAATGTCAAAAAATGAAAATCGATAACATTCTTCAAAAATAAGTCGCCAGTTGGATGGATGGATTGGAAGGGCGGCTTTATTTCTTAATTCAGAAGCCATGCGTAGGTCTGTGACCTTTTGCACAAATGTACCCAGAGACTGTTTTCAGTTTTTCGGACTTATCATACCTGGCTCCATTTTTGGAAGTGGGTGGTCCCGATATACAATCCCAATCAACCAGTTGCTAAGTCCGGTTGTGACTGTTGTTTGAGACCATTCAACCACTTTTTATCCAACAGAGCCAAGCGACCATCCTTTATTTCGGTTTTTTCAAATGGAGGAATTTTTCAATTTCTGATATACCGATATATTCATCAGTAACCGTCGGTTACTAACCGAACATTGTTTATTTGCGGTAGATGTATCGGATATTAATTTATCATGTACACCAACCTAGCGAGTAAACACCCCATTTTTACGTGCACTCGAACATATCATCTTCTGTATTGAGTGCACGGGATCCCACAGCTTAAAGTGCCTGCCGAAGCACCCCACGGGCCTTTACATGAGCCGTAATCTATCAATTCACAATGTCATTGATAGAACCAATGATATTTTAAGATTTTCGGCACACATGCGATTCGAACCCGTGTCCCCACGCTTACAACGCTAGCATGCTAACCAATACGCTATAGCTGGGAGTCGCCAGTTACTTTCAGCTACTCATTAAATGGCTCAATAATAGAGAAAGTTGATCAATTATTAGTTGACTAGAGATTTAGTTGTGATACTCGATCGCAACCTTCCATTCAAAATTCGAATTGAATAGTGAGTACATATCAACTAAAGCAATGTTACTATTAGCCTGGACTCAAAAGAGTTTAATGACTCCTGGATAATAAAAGAATAATTATAACTTCAGTTTTTCAAATTTTTCAATACGCCTAGGGGGAAAAATCATTTTTTCATCTTTCATATCCACACGTATCAAGTATTAACTTACAAATTCACTAGTATGCATGTCAATCTGAAATATCTATGTATATTTAACAATATTCATCGTAAACGACAAATAAATGTTACTAAATATACATAGATATTTCAAAATTAACGTGTATACCAATGGAAAAATAAAAATGATTGTGATTCAAATGACTTTTGGAAGATTTTGGTGAATCACGGTGAATAATTGGAACATTTTTACTTTTATAGATATTACAGTCTGTTGAATATACATAGATATTTGGTATTGACGTGCATATTAGTGATTTTGTACAGATTGTGATAGCTGTAAAAGTGAAAAAATGTTCCGTAATCCATCAAAATCATTCAAAAGTTATTCAAATTTTCAGTTGAAGGTTTGATTCACTATTATTTTTATTTTTTCATAGTGTTCTTGGAATTCGCGTGAAGCCCCCAGGAATATGCTTTCAGAAATGAAGTG